GCTACCTATCATCTTTGCAAGGACTGAAACAACAAAGGGAGGTGGTAGTTACCTGAATCCAGGAGCTGCAGTCACCTGGCCAGTCACCTGCCCCCATCCCCCACCATGGTGGGGAATACCTGATGGGACTGCGACCACAGAGCGGGCACAGCAGCCATGGCTAGAGACACTCAAAGTGGAGGGGGGCAATTCTCTGGCTTCTCCTTTCTTGGCACCTTCCAATCTCCCTCTAGACCTCCCATTGGCTGAGCCTAACCAGATGCAAGGAAGCCTGGGAAATGTAGTTTGTAGAGAACCTGAGAAAGATAATTTGCAGAAGCCATTGCCTTGATACAGAGGGGTGCAGGGGAAAAGTGGGGAACAGATCTAAGTGCATATTGACCAAATTCCAACTATACAACACAGGCCGTAGCTTAGTTGTAACTGTGATCATCTCAGTGACCAAAGCCCAAGGAGGACACTGTTCATGGTCCTGAAATGCAGCATTCATGAGTCAAGAGTGCTGACTCTTGACCATGAGACCCATTCTTGGCCAAGAGCTTGTGGGTCCTACCAACCAATGTCCTCCTTTTATGCAATGCCAACTGCAGGCTTGGCCTGAAGGGCCCACAAAGGACTGTCTCCCATTTGGGAAAAGGTGATAGAAGAATACACTGGATGTGGTGGCTCACGCCTGTTATCCCAGCACTTTGGAAGGCTGAAGCAGGCAGATCACCTGAGGTCAGGAGTTCGTGACCAGCCTGGCCAATATGGTGAAACCCTATCTCTACTAAAAATATGAAAAATTAGATGGGCGTGGTGTCAGGCACCTGTAATCCCAGCTACTTGGAAGGCCGAGGCGGGAGAATCCCTTGAACCCGGAAGGCAGAGGTTGCAAGCTGAAATCGAGCCACTTCACTCCAGCCTGGGTGCGACAGAGTGAGAATCCATCTCAAAAAGAGAGAGAGAGAGAGAGAGAGAGAGAGAGAGAAGAATAAATGGGATGTCTTCCTAGGCTCAGACTCTATTTTGTGTCCACATCCCATGATGAGTGTCTTCAACCCAGTGCATGGTTGCTTGTTGCAATGTGTGCAGAGAGTGAGCGCTAGCTAGGTGCTCTCTTTGCTTAGAGTCACAGATGTCTCCCGATAACTCTGCAAAAACCAGGTCTTCTAAGAGATGGAAAGTTTTTTCCCTAAGGTCACATGGCCGAGAAGTAGCAGCACCACGGTTGAACCCAGGTCTGTGGGTCACCAAGCTCTTTCTCATTAACCTGACAAATCCATCATTAACATGTTTTATCCCCAGTAGGGTTGAGACAGGAATGATACATGGTGGTCACAGGCAGCTGCTTCACATGACTAGAGGCTATGGACTGATAATACCCTGAAAACCAGGGTGTAGACCAAGCTGGCTAAGACCTACTGGACCCAACATGGTGTTGGGTTCTACCTAGGTTTCACCTGGGATCTCATTATGCACTCATTAAAATACTAAAATTACCTACCCACCAGCTCCCGTGACAGTTCCAGGGACACTCAAATTTGGTGTAAAAATGGGTGGCACCACAGTCTACCTTTTTCCAGTTTTCAAGAATATTACATCCCTTGGTTAAACACACACAGTGGCTGGGTGTGGTGGCTCACGCCTGTAATCTCAGCACTTTGGGAGGCCAAGGCGGGTGGATCATGAGGTCAGGAGTTCGAGACCAGCCTGACCAATATGGTGAAACCCCGTTTCTACTAAAAATACAAAAAATTAGCCAGCTGTGATGGCGCACACCTGTAGTCCCAGCTACTCAGGAGGCTGAGGCAGGAGAATCGCTTGAACCCGGGAGGCGGAGGTTGCAGTGAGCCAAGATCACACCACTGCACTCCAGCCTGGGTGACGCAGTGAGACTTTGCACCAAAAAAAAAAAAAAAAAAGACACATAAAGGCAGCAGTCCCAAACCACCTTGCCCATTATTCTCTCTTGAGTACACCCACTCCCTTTTCTCAAGTGTGAACTTTTCCTTTAACAAAAAATCTCTGAACTTTTCATTATTTTCTGATTCCTCCTTGAATTCATTCTTGCAACGGTGTTAAGAGCCTGGACGCCAGCTGGGGTCGAGGCCCCACCAGCGTCTGGGGAGATCCCTCCTAGCCCATCAGTATCAGGGTCACAAAAATGCCAGGCTTCCTAGCTTCCCATATTTTATGCCCGATTTCTTTCTAATCTGACTTACTTACCCGCCCTCCTCCTCCACCTCTCCCTACATACATCTAAATCCCTGGAGGGGTGGGGAGGGACGACGACTGGGGACGCTTTTTTTTTTTTAGACGAGTTTTCCTCCTGTTGCCCAGGCTGGAGTGCAATGGCACGATCTCGCTCACTGCAACCTCTGCCTCCTGGGTTCAAGCGATTCTCCTGTCTCAGCCTCCGGAGTAGCTGGGATTCCAGGCGTGCACCACCACGCCCGGTTAATTTTTGTATTTTTTAGTTGAGATGGGGTTTTGCCATGTTGGCCAGGCTAGTCTTGAACTCCTGACCTCAGATGATCCGCCCTCCTCAGCTTCCCAAAGTGCTGGGATTACAGGCGTGAGCCACCGCGCCCGGCCTAGGAACACTTTTGGAGGAGTGAGAGGCAGAGAAAGGCTGGAAAGCCTCCCGAAAGAGAGGCTAGACAAGGACGCCCTTCATATGCAAATGGCTTCGCGTGGAGGCGGTGTTAATATTTTGATTCTCTCGGGGGATGTGGTCTTTCATCTTGGGCTATTGAAACAGGAGCGAGGAGAAACTCTTCCAGGTGTGGCGGAGGCGGGGAGGCTTCCAGCGGGAGGACTGGTGGGGAAATGGGGCGCCCGGGAAGAGTGAAAACGAGACGCCCCTTTTGGAGGCCAGGCTCACCCACGTGGCCATTTCCATTGGCCTCTTGCCTGTTTCTCGGTCTCCTGTTCCCCCAACCCCAATTTTTTCCTCTTATTCCCCGTCTCCATCTATGCCCCACCCGTCTTGTCCTGGCATTGACCCCTCCTCCAACTTCCAATTTCAGACTCTGCCTCAGTTTCCCTGTTGACTCTTGAGTTTTTAGGGAGGGAGCGTTCATCATTTCTCTTCTCTGCTACCAGGCCTTCCTCCTACTCCTCTCCCTCAACCATTCATCCCCCTCCCACCTGCAAAGTGGGAAATGTCCCCTGGAGGGTGAAATTTCCAAACACGTGACGGGCACCCCTCCCCCACCTCCGCGACCCGCTCCCGGAATGGCCTGGGGGTTGGGGGGCGCTGCCAAGTCCTGTCCTCAGGTCCCCTCGCTGGTGCTGGCTCCCCCACTTCCCCGCCCCCCACCCCCCCACCCGACCCTGCTCGAGCAGCGCCCGAAGACGAGCTGGGGGCGGGGCGGGGGGCGGAGCCCGCAACAAAGACTCGGAGCAAGCGAGGGGGCGGGGGTGGGGCGGAATCCCGGCCGCCGACGAGGCGGGGGAGGCGGCGGCGCAGGGTCGCCCCGGCCGGGCGGGCGGGGTCGCGCCTGGTGGCGGTCCCCGCGCCGAGACGCCGCTAGGGCGGGCGGGGGTCGGGACGCCTGGCTGGGGGCGCGTCATGTGGCCGCTCACGGTCCCGCCGCCGCTGCTGCTGCTGCTGTGCTCAGGCCTGGCCGGACAGGTAGGGGCCCGGCGGGCAGGTGCGGGCGCGGGTGGCTGCGGGAGAGGAGGGGGGCACGGAAGGTTCTTGCAGAAACGGGGTTGGGAGGCTCCACAAGCCCCCCCAGCTGCAGGGCGGCGAGGGACGGGGGTCGCAGCGGGGGAGGGGCCGGGACGTGCACTCTCTGGCTTGGGAGAGGACAAGGGGGGCTTCAAATCCAGCCTCAGGTTGGGCTGGTTTGGGGGTGGCATCTTTGGGGTTCTCAACCCCTCCACAGCCCCAAGCCCCCACCCTGCCATCTCGCGGGAGCTGAGTGGGGTTGGGAGGGAAACTTCAGGGGGCTTTGGACGGGGATGGTTGCTTACCCTTGACTTCCTCTTCGGGGCCGAGATGCCCAGTTTCTGAAGCCCCCCACTCCTCGCCTGCAGCCCCCAGTGTGGGGCAGGGGGCGGGACTCACGTGAGAGTGACTGACGGGGACGCGTGTGAAATGCTTTGGGGGTGCAGGGTAAACGTGTGTGTCTTTGTGTCGTGGTTGGGTGTGACCGGGGGGAGTTTGTGTGTGTGGCAGTTGGGGGGCTTGTCCAAGTAGTGCCTGAGTTGGGGTGTGATCGGTATGTGAGACAGAGTCTGTGTGTGACCGTGTCCTCATTACTGGCTCCAGATGACTGGGTGTTGTACAATACGTGTGTGGCCAGGTGTGTGGCCGTGTGAGAGCCTTGGAGTCAGCGTGTGCTATTCTGTACCTTTGGGTAAATCATTCTAAAAGGGTGTGTGTGTGTGCGCGCGCGCGCGCGCGCAAGCGCTGTGTGTGCAAACGTGTCCATCCATGCACGTGTGTGTGTCTTGGTGCCTTGCTCACAACCGCACACGCCATTCATGCCCTTACAGAAGCAGTCTCCCTCCCCCTGGCACCCTTCTCTTGGGCAGGCTCAGGGAGCCTTGCAGAATGTGGGGCGTCCACGCTCTCTTTTGCTATTGAAAAGCCCCTCTCCTCCTCCATCTTGGGGGTGAGAGCACCCCCAAGTTCTCAGCTCTGTAGGAGTTCACAGGGAAGCTGGGATCAAAAACAATAAAGTAGTCATTATAATAACAGTGAGCATTCATTACGTGCTAATTTGAGGGGTGCTGTTTCAATCACACAGCACAGACTAAGGCATTTAACCCCCTCTGCCTCTTGCTTACTAGGGCATGGTATTGTTACCTTCATTTTATAGATGGGGAAACTGAGGCACAGAAAAGTTAAATCACTTGCTCAAGCTCGAGAGTGACAGAGGTGGGACTGAGCCGAGGCAGTCTGGCTCCTGAGCCCACACCATTACCCTCTTGTTAAATAATCCGCTCCATGGGTGTGGACAGCGTCTGTGAAGACATTGCTAAGGGGGTTTTTTAGGTAGATACGCAGGGGAGAAACAATCTGGGCACCTTCCCCTTCCTCATCAAGGAAAGAATCAGACCCTTGTACTCACCCCGAGGGGGGTGTTGGGAGGAATGGAGGTTAGACTCCAGATAGAAGGATTTCTAGGCCACGAGGAGAGGTTGTGGGGTCCCCTCCCTCGCTCCTCCATTCCCCCATGCATCTAAGCACCCACGCGCTGGGTGGAATAGGGAGTGTGCCCAGCGCCAGGCATGAGGCCACATACAGTAGGTACTCAATGGATGTGTGAGCCGGAGAGAAGCAAAGAGACACACCTGGGAGAGATAAAAGACCAAAAGAGGCACACACTTGAGAAATCGCTGGAAAAAAAATGAACCAGGAATCAAGTTGAATTATCCTTGGAGCCACCCCCTGTGGCTTCTCCTCCACCCCCTGCTAGGGGGACCCTAGATTTTCTGTCTTCTCACCAAGATTGGCTAGGGTGCCAGAGTTTGCTGCCAGAGTTGCAATTGGAGGGTGAATCCTACAGCCCCCAGGGCTGGGAGGGAGTTGCTTTGGGGGCGGGACTAACGAGGTCAGTGGAGGCGGGGCTAAAGGACAACGGGGGCGTGGCCAAATGAGGTAATCCATTAGGGCTAGTGGAATCCTGCCGTGGGCTGCAGTGCCTCCAGGCGGCCACTGCAGGAACCACATGGTCATAAAACAGTCTAGGCGGCCCGTACACCCCCTTGGCGTTGGCCCACCCAGCCTGGCACCCCAGGGAAGGGAGGGGTTTGCAGATAGGATGCTCTACCCGCTCCTAGCTCCCTCCATCACTTTCCAAAGACTTCTTCCCTGTCCCTGATGGATCCGGGGTCCTTCCTAGAAATCACTGGTTAATCCATTCAGCGAACAGATTATGCACTGGAGATACAGCCACCAACTGAGTCATCAAATCCCTGCTCTCCTGGAGTTGACCTAGTAGAGGAGACAGAAAAGAACCGAGTAACCCATGTAATACAGTGTCAGCAACTAAATATACATATAATACAATGCAAGTAGCATGAAGAATAACAGAAAAAGTATAGAAGATTAGAGTGGAGCTGGGCGCAGTGGCTCACACCTGTAATCTCAGCACTTTGAGAGGCTGAGGCAAGTGGATCGCCTGAGGTCAGGAGTTCGAGACCAGCCTGGCCAACATAGTGAAACCCTGTCTCTACTAAAAATATAAAAAATTAGCTGGGTGTGGTGGTGGGCACCTGTAATCCCAGCTACTAGGGAGGCTGAGGCAGGAGAATTGCTGGAACCTGGGAGGCGGAGGTTGCAGCGAGCCGAGGTCATGCCACTGCACTCCAGCCTGGGCAACAGAACAAGACTCTGTCTCAAAGCAAAAAAAAAAAAAAAAAAAAAAAACAGAAAAAGATTACAGGGTGGAGGCTTTCTGAGCCAGTGTGGTGAGGGAAGGTATCTCTAAATAGGTGGCATTTCAGGTGACATCTGAAAAAGGTGAGAGAAGGAGCCTTGTGGGTGTCTGGGGGAAGAGCATTCAAGGTGGGAGGAACAGAAGGTGCAAAAGCCCTGGGGTAAGAACAAGCTTGGTGAGTTTCAGAAGCAGTGTGGACGCTGGTGTGGCTGGAGAGGAGTGAGTAATGGGGATGTCGCGCGGGGGAGAGATGAGGCCAGGGAAGCCAGACCACTTAAGAACTTGTAAACTGTGGGCTGAAGTTTGGATTTGACCCAGAGAGCAAGAGAACAGGAAAGCAGAGCCTTTCGGAGGCATTGTCCATTCATTCAGGATCTATTCACAATGTTCTGGGTTCTGGCCTAGGAGTGACTACCAGAGAGCTTGATAGTTCTGAGCTCCACTATTTTCCTTGTGGAAAAGATGCCTTCCTGATCCCTGATCCCTCCCTAAGATCTAGCTGCATCGTTGGCACTGTCTGAGTTTGGGACCAGCTCTTTCCTGGGGCTTCCAGAGGATGGGGAGAAGGAATAATTCAGTTTAGATCACATGCCTCAGGGACTTCACACTTGCTGCTCCATCTCCCTGTGACACTGTTCCCCCTGGTAGCTATTTATCTCTGATTTCTGCTTAAATGTCACCTCCTCCAAGAGGCCCACCCTGAACAGCTAGGTGAAATAGCCCCCTGCTGCCACTCTCTGAGTGCTTACTCTGTGTTCTTTTTCTATTTATTTATTTTATTTTATTTTTTTGAGATTGAGTCTTGCTCTGTTGCCTGGGCTGAAGTGCAGTGGCACGATCTCGGCTCACTGCAACCTTTGCCTCACGGGTTTAAGTGATTCTTGTGCCTCAGCCTCCCGAGTAGCTGGGACTACAGGCACATGCCACCTGACGCCCGACCAGTTTTCTTTGTATTTTTAGTAGAGACAGGGTTTCACGATGTTGGCCAAGCTGGTCTTGAACTCCTGACCTTAGGTGATCTGCCATCCAAAGTGCTGGGATTATAGACGTGAGCCCGGCCATGTTTTCCTTTACAGCTCTTGTTTCCACATTTCTATGATTCTTCTATTCATTCATTGTCTATTTCCCCACTACAGCGGCAGTTTATCAGGGTTCAGCCAGCTTTGTTGTTTCTCCAGTGTCTAGAACAGAGCCTGACACACAGTAGGTGCTCAAGAAATATCTACTGGGTGGATGGATGGATGGACCCCCTCACACACACAGAGTGTCTTTCTTTCTCAAGCCACAGGATTCTTGTGTCAAGAGAGTGTCAGGGGAACACTCACTCCTGGATGGAAGACACCAAGAAACCCATTCTTCGGGCCAGGTGTGATGGCTGACACCTGTGATCCCAGCATTTTGGGAGACCTAAGCCAGAGGGTCTCTTGAGGCCAGGAATTTGAGACTAGCCTGGGCAATACAGCAAGATCCCATCTCTACAATAACTTTTTCTTTTTTTAATTTTTGAGATGGAGTCTTGTTCTGTCACCCAGGCTGGAGTACAGTGGTGTGATGATCTCAGCTCTGTGCAACCTCTGCCTCCCGGGCTCAAGAGATTTTTGTGCCTCAGCCTCCCGAATAGCTGGGACCACAGGGGCGTGCCACCATGCCGTTAATTTTTGTATTTTTAGTAGAGATGGGGTTTCACCATGTTGGCCAGGCTGGTCTCAAATTCCTGACCTCTTGATTTGTCTGCCTCGGCCTCCCAATCTGCTGGGATTACAGGCGTGAGCCACCGGGCCTGGCCTTTACAGTAACTTTTTAAAAAATTGGCCAGGCTTGTAGTTCTACTTAGGGGCCAGGGTGTGAGGATCACTTCAGCCCGGGAGTTCAAGGCTGCAGTGAGCTATTATTGCACCACTGCACTCCAGCTTGGGTGACGGATTGACCCTGTTTCCACAAAAAAGAAAGAAAGAACACCCATCTTCTTTACCTGTGCCTGAAATTCCACCCTGATAGGGCACTGCTATTTAGGGGTAGGACGATGTTCTCCTGGGGCTCCTTTAGAGCATGTAAATGTGCCAGTGGAGGGAAGTAAAAGGAAATTTAAAGACTCTGAGTTAGTGTAGGGAAGCGCCCCTTTGGGGCTGGATTTAAGATTATGGAGCCTGGGCGACATCTAGTGGTTGAATGAGGTTTGCGCAGAGACTGTGTGCGTCTGTGTGACTGGTGAGTGAATGTGTGTGATTTTACACCTGTGCCTGTGCGTATGTGGGATGGAGGTGCCCAGGTCAGGGTAAAACAGGTGAGATACTCGCCGCGGGTGCAAACATTTTAAAAAGTTGTTGTTGATGATGATGATGATTTGAGACGGAGTCTTGCTGTGTTGGCCAGGCTGGAGTGCAGTGACGCGATTTCGGCTCACGGCAACCTGCGCCTCCCAGGTTCAAGCGATTCTCCTGCTCAGCCTCTCGAGTAGCTGGGATTACAGGCGCGCGTCACCACACCCAGCTAATTTTTTTTTTTTTTTTTTTTTTGTATTTTTGTATTTTTAGTAGAGACGGAGTTTCACCATGTTGCCCACACTGGTCTCGAGTTCCAGACCTCAGACGATCCGCCCGGCTTGGCCTCCCAAAGTGCTGGGATTACAGGCGTGAGCCACGGTGCTGGGTCTATTGCTAAGACGGGGTCTTGTTCTGTCACCCATGCTGGAGTACAGTGGTGCAGTCATAGCTCACTGAAGCCTCCAACTCCTGGGCCCAAGTGATCCTTCTGCCTCAGCCTCCTGAGTAGCTAGGGTGACAGGTACATGGTATAGTGTTCAGCTATAGTGCAAAATTTAAGGGGATGGCCCTAAAAAAATAAAAACCAGTAACCAAGATAAATAATATTTTAACGGAATATTTTAAGAAAATCTAAATTAATGCAAGAAAAATCTACGATGAACAAAAACAAATTTTTAATTAACTATGGGCTCCACCTCTGCACTTGCATAACTTACCTCACTCTAATTTTGGCCCCATAGGCAGGTGTCTGTGGTGTCATGCGTGTATGTGTATGTTTGGTGGTTGTGTGCACGTTCAGGGACCATGAGCACAGGGACATGCTTGTATCATCATCACACCAGTGACTGCATCCTTGTAGGCCAACTATATGTTTTGTGTGGATTTCTTTTTTTCTTTCTTTCTTTCTTTCTTTCTTTTTTTTTTTTTTGAGACGGAGTTTCACTCTGTTGCCCAGGCTGGAGTGCAATGGCGCAATCTCGGCTCACCGCAACCCCCACTTCCCGGGTTCAAGCGATTCTCCTGCCTCAGCCTCCCTCCCTGGTTCAAGCGATTCTCCTGCCTCAGCCTCCCAAGTAGCTGGGATTACAGGCATGTGCCACCACATCTGGCTAATTTTGTATTTTTAGTAGAGACAGGGGTTTCTCAATGTTGGTCAGGCTGGTCTCGAACTCCTGACCTCAGGTGATCTGCCCGCCTCGGCCTCCCAAAATGCTGGAATTACAGGCGTGAGCCACCGCGCCTGGCCTGGTGTGTGTGGGTTTCTGATGAGCCCAGTGGCTGGTGTGGGCAATGACTTTTTAGCCCCAGGATTCAGTGTCAGTGCCTGGGAGGCAGTAATGTGCTGTTTTCGTTTGTTCTTGCACTCATGTATTCATTTATTTTATTTTATTTTATTTTGAGATGGGGTCTCACTCTGTCGCCCAGGCTGGAGTAAAGTGGCGCAATCTCGGCTCACTGCAACCTCTGCCTCCTGAGTTCAAGCCGTTCTCCCACCTCAGCCTCCCGAGTAGCTGGGACTATAGGCGCACACTACCATGCCCAGCTAATTTTTGTATTTTTAGTAGAGACAGGGTTTCACCATATTGTTCAGGCTGGTCTCAAACTCCTGACCTCAGGTGATCCACTTGCCTCAGCCTCCCAAAGTGCTGGGATTACAGGCGTGAGCCACCGTGCCTGGCCCATGTATTGATTTAGAGGGCATTCATTGACAGCCTTCTGTATCTCAAGCATTATACTATGCAGTAAGCACTAGGTGGTGGTTTGTGCTCTCAAGGAGTGGAGTAGAAGATTTAACTTCTGGAGGAGTTGAGCCTAGCTGTGTTGCGAAAAAGTTGTCATAACAGGAACACTTTATTCCCACATCTAGGGAACTCTTGTCTGAGAACATTAACATGTCTTCACTGCCAAGGTGGAAGCCCATTCTGTCTCTTTTTCTCTTTTTGAGATGGGGTCTTGCCATGGTGCCCAGGCAGGCCTTGAACTCCTGGGCTTAAGCAATTCTCCTGCCTCAGCCTCCCAAATAGTTGGGATTACAGGTGCACACCACCTCAGTGTGTCTTGCGACTTCATCCATCCAGAGCGCAGCCACAAACCAAGAAGTAACCAGGAAAGAGCAGAGAGTAGGGAGAGGAGATTCCATGAAGACTGTATACAAAAGTTTACTATCTTTCTCTCTCTCTCTCTTTTTTTTTTTTTTTTTTAGATAGAGTCTCACTCTATCGCCCAGTCCGGAGTGCAGTGGCACGATCTCATCTCACTGCAACCTCCACCTCTTGGGTTCAAGCAATTCT